GTTCACCAGAGTGCCCCAAAGGATGACGAGGTCGAACGGTCATAAACTACTGCGAGACCATTTCAGGCTGGACATAAGGAAGAATTTACTGTCTGAGTCCCCAAGGTCTGGAACAGCCTGCCATCGGAGGTGGTTCAAGCACCTACACTGAACACCTTCAAGAGCAAATTGGATGCTTATCTTGCTGGGATCCTATGACCCCAGCTGACTTTCTGCCCTTTGGGCGGGGGGCTGGACTCGATGATCTTCCGAGGTCCCTTCCAGCCCTAATGTCTATGAAATCTATGTTCCCACTGGTGCCTGCAGCCTGACTGGGTGCTGCTGTGCACCCCCTGCCTCCAGCTCCAGGATCTGGAGCTGGGCCCCTTTGTGCCTGCCAGGAGTGGTGCAGTGTAGTGCAGCAGGAGAGAGAGCAGGAGTTGTGGCTGGAGGCAGGGGGTGCAGAAGCAGCACCTGGCTGGCTGCAAACACATTGGGAACAGCCCACTGGAAGCTGGTTCTGCTGCTGCTACACCATGTCATGCTGTGCCACGTCGTTCTGGGCAGGCAAGTGAGAAGCTTCATCCAGGTGGCTCTTGCTACACTGCCAGAGATCTAGCTTCAGCTCCTGACCACTTTTCTAGGAGCTGGAGCTCCCATGTGCTGGGGCAAGAGCAGGAGCATCTTCTAATGGGCTGTTCCCGGGGTGCAAAGAGCCAAACGGGTGCTGCTCTGTGCCCCCCAGCCTCCAGCAACAGCTCTTCCTCTCACTCCTGCTATACCACACTGCACTATTCCCAGCAGACATGTGGGGGTCTGGCTCCAGATCCTGGAACTGGAGGGGGGGGTGGGGAGGCACAGAGCAGCACCCAGCTAAGTTGTGGGCACTGGCAGGAGTCTGGTGTGGGCTGCTCTGGCATGAGCGAGTGGGGCTTGGCCCCACGCAGAATGCCACAGGAGCAGTGTGAACCACACTGCCCTGGGAGCTCTGCTGCATTTGCCCCCCGGCCTACCCCCTTCCCTAACCTATAGCAGGCTCCTAGGATCTAGCAACTGGGCAGCCCCCCCTCCATGCCCTGCTCCCCCAGAGGGCAAGGGCACTCTCTCTCTCCCTGCCTCCCTCCCCCCCCTGCTCCACAAGGGGACTTTTGGTGGGCTTTTCCCTGCTCTCCCCCTTCTCCCCTCCCCTTCTGGAGACAGAGACAGCGGACATAGTTATTTTAGTTCAAAAGTGTACCACTGCCGTTTTCTATGTGCTGGTGTGCATTTCATCACTTATACAACTGCATGTGACACAGCACAGCACGCATCAGCTCTGCGCGGAGTGGAGCTGTCTGCTCCGATCCGTTGCATCTCCGGTGTGTCAAAGGATGAAAAGGTATGTGTATAAATTCCCATTGTGTGTGTTCCCTACTCAAAGGGTGTGGACAGAAGTAACGTTAGAAATGTTTCAAAAGGATGACATTTCAGCTGGGGACATATGCATATATAGCCCCAACTTTGTCCCCCCCTCCACCACAGTTGTAATACTTCAAAATGCTTCAATGCCTGCAGGAACAGAGAGGTAGGGAGATTGGAGGATGAAAGGGCAGCAGTGGTGGGACACAGGGATCTGGTAGGACCTTGGGGCTCTAGTGGTTGGGACATGATTAATCAGAGGAAGTGGGGCAGCAAGCAAGATAGGGCACAGGGATATGCAGTGGTGGTAAGGGTGACCATCACTAGAATACCTGGTTCTCCAGTCTCCAATCCCCTGAATTTCTCCTCTTTCCCTCTCCCAAGAGTAGAGAGGTAGAGGAGACTGAGGGCTGAAGAGCCCAGGAGGGAGGGAGAGAGAGAAGAGCACTATGGGATTTTGAAGGACCTATAGGTTCCCAATTCCCATGCGCATATATCTAAAAGAGGTACTTCATTTCAAGCAGTAGTATTTTGGAGCATTTCAGCCACTTTTTGGAACATTTCAAAGGCATTGGAAATGTTTCAGCTGTTAGTTGTATACACCCTGACTCAGTTATTGAACCAACCAAACCCATATGGCCCCTCTTCTTTGTCTTGGATTGTTTTCCCCGATGTTTCAGAAGACTGCTTTAGTTAGGGCCTGTTCTCAATATGGGTCCCTAATGGAGTTCCTGTCCCCCCAGCAGTCTTCCCAAAACGTTCATTTATCAGATAACCTTATTTTTCTATTTTCTATATAAAAGCCTATCCTCCATCTCCCCCCAGAACTGCAAGGTTTTTTCTTTTGGAAAGGTTTAAAGAATTTTATAACTTAAAGCTTCAATAGTTTCAGCCAGTGAACCACTCCCTCAGCTGGTATATATCTGTAAAACCGTGCGAGTCAAAAGTTCACGTGTGTGAAACTGCACTGGCTACATGAAGGCACTGTATATTTCAATAATACAAGCAGCTTTTACTAAAATAGCAACTGCAATAAGACCGAGTATATGGCTAAATATTTGAAGGTTGACTGCAGCTAACATTTGAGATCCTACCTCCCCCATCCCCCCCTTCATGGTTTCCCTCTTTAAATTCTTTCCTTTCATGTCCACTATTACCATGCAAAGCTCTTGATAGGATACATTGGCCCTAGGCTGCCGGGAGTCGGTCTCTTTTATAAATAATGCAGCTAGTTTTCTGAGCCTGGGTTCATTCTTTACAAAATCCCTCTTATCAAAGGGAGAGAGCATTTCTGTGCAATCAGTCATGCTTATGTTATAGAAGAGAACCACTGTCGTACATGTTTTCTCTTAGTAAAGTCTTGATGGTGTCTGTTTTTGTTTGTTTTTTCCCCCCTGTCCCTTAATTGCATATAGCCGACATATTCTTATCTCCTTATCCCACCAGAAAAAGACTTCATGTCCAGTAACAGAATACTGCTGAGGATGTTATGTTTTTTAAAATTAACAGCTGTCCAATATAGTAACAAGTATTAATCACTACAGTCATGCAGCTTTGAAAACAGGCTCTTCTTTCATGCTAAACAGCCACTCAAACAAAGCAGACTTTTGTTAGGCAACAGTTTCCATTAACTGGTTGGGGCATATTGCAATTTAAGATAAAAAGAGTGCATTTGTTTTTAATGTTTCCTTCTTTGTATATCTCCTATTATAGTTCACAGATGCTGTTTCATTTTTACGATGTAATGCACAGTAAACTAAGGCAGTTTTGTTAAATGTAGCATGGTAGCAAGGTGTGCATTACACAAAATAAAATGCATGGCTGCAATATAATGATACTGCAGCTTAGCTGAAATATAGGACAAATGTTAATCTTAAAAGGGAATTGAAAAGGCTTTCCTTCAGGTGTTGCCATTTGAGCTCAGATTTCTGCTCCTTTCTTTGCTGCTTTGTGTGCTTGTAAATATCTTCCGGAGTAGATGCTAAAAAAAAAAAAAAAAAAAAAAAGTAGGGCTTAAAATACTAAAGGGGGGGATATAAAGTGCATTATAACAGATATCTGAACTAAGAATTTCAAGGTTCTCTCTTAGCAGCATGTCATGGCTAGTTGAAATTTTATGGAAACCATGTTGCGGGGGGAGACATCTTCCTGTTTCAAAAGCATAGGTCCCGCTAATAGAGTGAAGAACAATAATCTTTTTGTCAGCTTCATACTATATACAGCTTGACAGTTAGTGGATAGCTATGATTCCGTCCTATATAGAAAGCAGTAATGTGAATACTATATAGAAAGCAGTAATGTGACTGTGAATTAATCAGTTCATTGCAATATTTATGTCCTTACCCTGTGATTTGAAAAATCTAGCCTTAAAAAAATAAATAAATAAATCTGGCTGCCTAAAGAGAGGGCCAGTGTTCAGTCAGACAGCTAAATGAAAATGGCTTTATTTTTCAGAAATGTTCTCATGTGTCCCATTTGTTCTGGTTAATTTGTGGGTGTTGATCACTTCTGAAATTGAGGGTGGTTTGTTTTTTTTTGGTCTAGATGCTTAAATATGATTGGGAAATAGTGCCATTAGAGTCGGGCATGGAAAAAACAAACTTTTTTCTGTTCACCTTTAGTAAGACTTACAGGTTCATAACAACCATTAGGAAAGAAAATGCTGTCTATGGATACTTGTCATGATGAGGCCTTTGGTCTCTGGTCATGCCTCTGGTTGTCCCCCCCACATGGCAGCTGGGGCAGCAACAGGCTCTCCTCACTACCCTCCAGCAGAGACCAGCAAACTATCTGAAAACCTGCTGGTGCTGCAGACCCTGGTGCAGTTGTAGAATCTCCTGCTGATCACTGACATCCTGCCTGGTGGTCCCTCGTTCCTGCTGGGGAAGAGGCCAGGCAGTCAGTGTTCAGGTTCATTGACAGGTTGCCCTGGGAGAGAGGGCGAGCACTGTATATCCATTAGATTAGATGATGGCTGTTGAACTTCCAGATTTCTAGGGCTGCACAATTTTGGAATTGTCTTCTGACAAAAATAGTGGAGGGTATAAGAACTAAGGAGAAAATGTTCAGTGATAGTGGTGGTATGGAAGGGTAAGGACTACTTGAACAGAAAAAAATGTTGACATATAGATGTATTTGCATGCATATGTTTAATCAAACAACAGTGAATCTAATAAAATGTATTCTGAGTGCAGATTGCTTATTCTAAATTCATGTTATAGGAAGTGCAGACTATAATCCCCAGTTGTTCAGTAAGTCAGTGATTGGCAATGAACATATGGTGAACTCCAGTATGGTGCAGAGGGGTTCACTATGTAAAGCCAGTGTTACAATCAAGAGACTGAACAAATTCTAATGAGAACCTTAGCGAAGGGAGGATGCTTCTCTGGTTAATGCACTGGGTGGGAGTTGAGAGTAAGTTTTGCTACCAGCTCGGGTCTGTATGCATCTGTATCACTGTCAGTAAAATAAGGATAATATTTTCCTACCTCCCAGGGATATGTTGCTTGAATCATCCATGCTTTGAGATCTTCAGACAGATGGTACAGTATAGGTGTGAACTTAGCGGTTGCCAAGATTGATTGCTGATTTTTTTTTTTTTTTTCTCAACTTTTCTTTTATAGGTTTATAAGATTTCCCCGCAGTTTTCTTTCTTGGTGACATCAGGTCCTTTTGTTTACACGGCAATAGCTGTCATGAATGTACTTATGAACAGCAGCCTTCTTCGTGGTCAGGCACCCATGGTCTTGTCCCTACGTCCTTCTTTCACTGTGCCAGATTCCAGGTTCCAGGTTCACACAGGTGAGCTCTATCCTTTATTGTGTAGAGTGAAGTCCCTTACTGATGCACAGGTTTCATGCTGGGAGAAAGGATGCTCTTGCAATTTAGATCTGCTCAATTCCTTAATTTTCACGGGGAGTTTGGCCATCCTTTGGTGGAAAAGGTTATATAAGTTTCAAACAATTCTTATTGTAAGCTGTTTAACGAGCTGGAAAGCTTTTCACTTGGTAAGAAGTGTGAATAAAATGTTCTGCTCTCCTTATTTAATATCAGACCTGATGATGTGACTAACAAAGCGTAAGGTGCTTGATTGATTGATTATTTATTTATTTATTTATTTATTTATTTTTTTAATGCTGCCTTAAGTGTCAGCCAGGTTATCGCAGTGCTGAATCCCATATCTGTCTCCATCCCCCTAGGCCCTTTTACCATCTGCAATCTGTTGCACGGAAAATGCAGAACTTTATGTAAGAGTCTCGACAGATATTAGGAAAAGAGTGACTGTATTTCTGCAGCATTTTATTTTTAAATCAAAGTACATCTAAGTTTTTAACTCTGCATAACTTAAAATTACTTTTGACCTTAAATAATTCTTTTGGTTATGTTTACAAAAATAATTCTAAAAATTCATGTGTTTATTTTTTTAAAAAGTTTTCTTCATTTACATTGATTTATGGTCATGAGATGGGGGGATTGGATGGCTAAGGGGACTGTTTATACTAGGATGCAGCTTTTCACTGTTACTGCACGATGGTGGTTTTTGATATGGTCCATAGCTGCTAATGACCAAAATATGGTATTAATCATGTAACAGCTGTTTGCAATTAGTGGTTCTTATTTGGCCAACACTCACATAACAAAACAGCTGTTCTAGATGACTTGCCTGTGAAGAATGTCATGTGGCACCCAGGCCAGCACAAACGGGCACAGGAGGCAAACAAACCTGTCGCACCAAAGTGGTTGCTCAGTCCAGAGATGCTTTGTTTTCTGTAGCTGCTTTGTGAATACATATATAATAAGAACTGTAATATCTAGTGCTGTCAGTCTGGCACCTTTCCATATGCTTAATTAGCATGCACGTATATATAGATTTTCTGGAGTGGATACAGTAAATAACTTTCAGGGCAGATTCTGTAACTTCTGCCAGCGCACTAAAATGGGCTGACAGTGGAATTGGTGGTGGGTGAGAAAACATTGCCAGGAAGTCAACATGTGCTTGCTAAGTACGTACTGGTGAAAGGTGTCAGACTGATATTATATTATGATAAACCAAAGTTGGAGTGTTTTAACTGAGCTGAATATTAGATTTCAGTTACTGTTTCACAGAGGTGGTCACAGCTGGTCTTGTTTTAAAGAGTCTTCATAAAAACCTTGAATAAATGCACCAGTATACAGAGCTTTGCACAAATGATTCAGTGTTAGTCTCATGCAGCCAAGGGCTTGCAGTGTGGTATCACAAGTGTTGGAGTGTTTTGGCTGCAGAATCTCTTGACAGTGAATCTGATTTGTTGTCGCATCAGATTTTAGTGATGAGAGAGCATTTTGCATCAGTACAGAACTACTATCTGCAGTGATTCCTTGAGCTATACTGTTCAGACTTCTCCTTCCCTGAGTTCAGCCTGGATTTTATGGAAAACTGTTTCCTGAGTAGAGGGAGATTCCCCTTCCCTCCCTGCTATCACTTCTCCATGCAATCATTGGAATAATGTATTTTCTTTACCTTCAGTGCTTCAGTTTGTGCCTCGAAACATTGATATTGGATTCTGTAACTTCAGCCAGCATATTGAAAAAGGGTTGACCATGGCATTCATGGAGGTGAAAAAACATCGCAAGGATATTTACAACTTTACTGTGCAGGTGAGCTCGCTGGCTGCTGGGTTTCAGCATATCAGTAATAGCAGGTCAGGTATTCACTGGCTACCTTTGACTCTTCTGGTCATCTTAATCCTATGCTACCTTTCCATGTGTGTTTTCATAAAGAAATCCATTGTACCACACTAAACATTCTTTGAGATGCAAGGAACTTGAAATGATGATATAAACACAGTTTTATATTATAGGCAGTTAACAGATGTAGCGGGGTCTAAAAGTTCATCAGTGCTTTTTACCCATGGCTAGGTATCTAAAGTAGCTCTTACTTGAACTTTAGATCTCAGATCTGTCTTGGATACTAAACCCAAATAACAAGGCTTAAATCTTCTTGGATGCCAACTGTGTATGTATTGAATTAATAAGATCTGTCACCTTTTTTTACTGATTTTTTTTTT